AACATGACCGGGACACCATCAAAACAGGACCGGGACACCATCACAACATGACTGGGTCACAATCAAAACATGATCGGGACACCATCAAAACATGACCGGGACACCAGCATCACATGACCCGGACGCCATCAAAACATGACCGGGACACCATCCGCCCACCAGCTCTGACGGTGACCCGACGGCGCCCGTCCGCCTATTTGTTTTGCAAGACCCCATAGCATGGCTATTGGGGAAAAATGTTAGAAAGAAACATCAATCACCAACTTATTTGTAGCGTATGGCTGGAACTGCAAATGTTTGTGTTTGCTGAATATTAGAACATGAAACAATTACTGTCCGTACTGATACACCCATGGCATTTCTGGCCTTGGACCCAAGTCCACAATCGTCTTCTTCATGGTTGATCAGGGACGAATATTGACGAAATACCTCTTCCAACCAGCTGCTAAACCCCTTCAATCGGCTCCATCCTCAGGTCTTGACGCGCCCCCACGCCCCCACAAGTAGTCCCTTCGGTATCAGCGAAAACGAGGCGACGCCGAGCTCGCTCGGAACGGAGGCGGTTTGGGTCGAGTCGAGGCGGGCGCCTTGTCCCAGCAGGCACCGCTCCATGTCGCCGGAGTTGCAGAATTCCACGACCATCTCGAAGGACTCCTGGCGAGGAAAGCCGCTGACGAGGAACCCTGGAGGTGGGGTGGAAGACTCGAAACCCATCCGTTGGTGCAGGTTCTGTCCTTTTTTGATACGACTTACACCGGGCAAAAAGAGACTTGGAACTGCACCAACCGATCAAAAGGTGCCAGAGAAGCATACCACTTGGGATCTTCCCCTGATCCAAAATATCAGAACAAAAACTGAATTGATAGTCTTTATAAAGATGAAGTCTGTGATACTCTTGAAGGTGATTATGTTGCAGCCAAGTTTAAATGAGGGATTTGTGGGTGCAGAATGCAGCAGTGAGAGAAGGTGGATGGGCTCACGATGGACCAACCCATATGGGTGTGTATTCTAACAGGAGACACCCAACCAATGGGTTTTTGGCCTTTGAAGTTTCTTCTGTGCAGTGGTTGCCCTCAGCTAAGCGTAAGGCAAACACAAACGAAGCCTCGACAGATCTGTACATCATGCAGACATAACAACCAAGGAAATCAAGTTTATTTTGATTCTTGTTTCTAATAGCTTCTTGTTACTACTAGTAAGGCCCTTGCTCCTAGTAGCGATGCACTTGTTCCTAGTAGCTTATTCAAGAAACTCAATGAAATCAATCAAATCACATCGGTCGCCACGGTGCCTTCAAGTTCGTCGAGGGTCGACCCCATTGAAAATAGTGTTCACATGACAGGAAGCATAGGTAGTAGCACTAAGGTAGCCTAATCGACGTAGGCCTCCACGATGGCACAGAAAATCACACGGGAAATGACAGCTACTCAACCAATGGAAATTTGCACGTGCACAGATCGGCTGGAGCAACATCAGGGTCTTTGGGAGGTCCCCCTAATAACACACATATACCTCCATTAAAATCATGGGTCATCATCACTCAAGCCACATCCCCCTTTACCGGGACCCGAAAATTCTGGCGACCTCCGACGTGCGTGGTCGTGTTCCACTTCCACGACGAAGGGACCTCCTTTAGCTGGTGCGCTGAGGCGGAATCGGCTCATCTTTTTGAAGGTCCTCATTCCAAGTAGTAACACCTGACAACCACCGTCTTCACCGGCGAATTCGAACGACCAGGGTTTTTGCATTCGTCCTTACGACTCGGGATGCGGCCGCAACCCGTCCTGCAAGTGGCCTCGATCCAAATTGGTCTTGATCCACATGCCTCCCGCCGGTCCGGCCGTTTCATGCCGTTGATTGCTCATGTTCCAAACGCTTCAAGCAGTATTGATTCACGTGAGCGGTATCTGTTTTTTGCTTTGCTAAGCGTGGCCAGGGTCTGGCAGAATCAAGGAACAAAGAGGCCATTGGGCCATGCATCACTGATGTGCAGAACCTTGTGTCTGTCATATGCTTTAGTCCGCCATCCCTTGTTATCGTGATCTTCTCATTATATATATATATATATATAGAAGGGGCAGGATCATAGAAGAAAGAACTCAACAATCATTCCCATCACCAGCCTCACATCCTGTTCATGGGCGTTGTATTCTACAGACTATTTTGGCGCAAGCACCAACCCGGTCAAAACACAGGAGGTACCAGAGTGGTGTGGTGTTTGTGTGTCTTCAGACTTTCAACCGATTGAGCATCTGAAGCCCCCAAAAAGGCATATAACCTCAAGCAAACATTGATTAAGAAGAAAACACATGAAGAGGTTGTGCAATCCAAATGGAGGGTTCATTAATCGCAAGTCTACATTATAAAACCAGCAGTAGATTGGGGTTTCATGCTCTATCTGCGCGAGTGTCTCCCTTGTCCAGCACAGCTGCAAGTCGTTTCATGAATGGTCGGCCCCTGATTGTTTGCGCACTGCTTGCTCATCCCTGGGTATTGAGAATAATGACCGTTCATGCACTACCCGAGTGTGCATTCAGAAACAGGAGAGAAGATTGGGGAAGAAAATATGTCTGTGCTCTGATTGTTTCATCAATGCTGGCATTGCAAGCAATTGATTCAAGACCGGCCCCTAAACAAGCATGTTCCAGTAATATCGTCTTTGTGTGAAGATCCTCAAAGAATGGAGACTTTCGGCCAGCTCCACCAACAAGCCATCTGCTCTTTCCTGATCAAGCTGGCCAGCATGAGAGGATGAGAGCTTTCTGGGCCTAGGTAGATGCAGCTGGCGGTCACGGAGATCCAGTCGATGAGATTCCACACATTGAAGTACTCCCTGGGCCATGTTCGACGCATCCAACGCGCGTGCGCGCGCAGAACCGGTCTTGAAGAGATGTCATATATGTCTTGAAGAGCTGCGGCTTGGCTGGCTGCTTGATGCTGCTTTCTTGGTGGTTTCAGGAACTTTTGCCCTTCACTCCCAAATTCCAGGGCTTCAAAATCTACAAGAAAGAAAGCACCCGATCCCTCGCCTATTGATGAGATCCATCAAACGACGATCCTGCCCCACCCAGGCTGAAAGCTGGGGCTGGGCATGGAAAAAAGCCCCAAATCGAAATGCTCTTGGGCTTGCGAAGCCTGCCGAGATATTAACATATGAGAACAAGCTCCGGAAAGAGATTCACATCACAACTTGGAAGGCAGGAGGAACATCACTATTCAACTTAGTTGGTTCTAAAGCGGTCGAACGAACTGCGCATCGAATGGAATGTCCGATGGCAAAAATCCTCGGCCTCACAGGCTAAAGCACCATATGGACCATGACCCCAGAACGATTGAAGAACATTATCTCTTCAAACTTCAAGATCCAAAAAACACACATAAGATTGAACACTGAAACCAAAAAGCACACGACCTACACCGTTCGTCGACCTTTTGTTTTGAGCTTCCTAACAAGTCACAAAAGATGAGTGGCATCATCGACGTCTTTTCACTCCGCCGGGAGACCATAGGAAGGTCCGACAATGGAGATGTCCAGTGCGAAGTCCTCAACGGCGAGTCCGCAGCGACTTCCGGTCCTCCCCTGGGCCCCCCTGGTTGGATTGCTGAAAGATCGATCCGGCAAAAAAGAGAAGTTCAGGAACAAGTGCATCGCTACTAGGAGCAAGGGCCTTACTAGTAGTAACAAGAAGCTATTAGAAACAAGAAGTTCAGACGAACTCCGCGACTCCGCTCCGCATTTCTCGGCACACCCTGGGCTCTGGCACCGGTCGTGGAGATCGACACATCGGTGCCAGCGCTCGCTGCTCGAACGAAACATCGGTGCGAATCGCGAATCGTGCGAATCCCCGACGGGCCACCAAAAAAGACACATGGTGACCTTCTTCCGACCAGTTGGAACCTAAACAATCCACAGGAGAGCTGAAAACACCACCCATGCAAAGGAATGATGTCCAGACCTTCTTAGACCATGTGAGCGTTCTTCAAAACCTATCCAGAACTGCTTCCAAATGCTTCTAATGGGCTCTTGTTTCACAAGTTTCCTTTCGTAAAACTTTCGTGGCTTGCGTTTTGGCCTTCGCGCGTTACATTCTGTGCAAGAAGCGCCGTCACAAGCTTTCACAGACAGAATTGACTTTGCAAGCTTTTGCTCGCTTTCCAAAGCTTTCCCAAGCTTTCCCACATGAAAAGTTCGCGAAGTCTTTCGCTAATCTTTCACGACTGAGTGTTTACATGTGTTTACCTTTCGGGAAGGCATCTTACAGTAACCTCTCTTCAAATTGTTACATGGGATGTTTTGGCTGTGTTGTTCAATCCGAAAACCATCCGAAATGGGTGGTTTTCGAATTCTTTACCCGTCTTGAGACGGTCTCAGATACCTGGTCGACCAGGCTTCAATCAAGGTGAAGACCCAGCCGCTGGCGAAAACAACGTGGGCAAATCACACTCTGCCCAGCATCGGCCGATGACGTCGCGCCCTTGCTCCACTAAGATGCTCAAGATACCTCGTTCGCAACTCCAACCGAAAAGCCAGCAAGAACCAAATGGATCTGTTTCACCACGAGTCTCGTCACTCCCAAAACGAGGTCGCCCCGAACCCGTTCTACTGTTCTCCCCGAACCAGTCGCCCCGTTCGGCCGAACGGCGCGGCGACCCACCGGGTGACGTGCGACGACCGTCGAGGCACATCCGTAGAAGAAGACCTCCGGGACGACCGTCCAGCGGTTGGCGTAGGGCTCCAACTTTAAGGACCTCCGAGCACGAAAAACCAGGCGAAGGGGGCTGAAGGATGCGCGAAAAGCGTGGTTTTTGGTGCTCGCTTAAAAAAAGATGATTTGGGGGGATGAGAGATGTCACGGAGAATTAGAGATGTCGCGGATGGTGGGGGAGATGGACTGTGGCCCTGCACCAGTTGGACGGCTTTTTGGGCGGATGTTTTTGAGACTGCTTGAATGGTCTTTGCAGGTCTTTGACACAAATAGGTTGTTCTACGAGGGATTCGAAACGAGCATCATATATATATATATATAGAGAGAGAGAGAGATCTAACCCTTGCGGTACAGTGATGTTGCGCTAGACTACTCCCTGGTTGAGCCCGAAAAGGATCCCAAAGATGTAAGTGCATAGTTACCGCGCAAAGGCTGGGCAGCACTTAATACCATCATCCAGTCTGTACATCTCCTATGGGGGAGATCTCCGGTAAAGCCATGTACAACTGTGCAAACCATGCATTGAGCTCTGTGCTTCCGAGAAGCAAGAAGCTAATCTCCTTCCAGATCTTTCCAGAGCGTGCCAACACGAAGTGGATCTCTGTGACCGTCATGATGTCATAGTGCGGGTTGTAGAGGACCATGGTGATCTGGGATGGTTCACAAGTCGTGCAACGCAGCCCTTCTTTCAAGAAGAGGTACAGTTAGTGCAAAAAAACTGAAACACCGCTTGCCCCGAAACTGGGGGAGGAGACCGGTCCTGGGTTTACGCTTGGTGTAGATGTCTTCAGCTACATCTTCACCGACCCCTTCACCACCCACCGACAAATGCCACGCAGGTTTGGCCGAGTCTTCACCGTGAAAAACGGCCGTGGCGTGGGTGGTGTGTTGGGAGCGAACCAAAAGCACGGTCGAAAAAGACCGAAGTCAGAATTCACCCACTGGCGGTGTGTTAGAACTGGGGCAGTGTTCATCGCCAGTGGAAGCTATATATATATATATAGCACCATCTGGAAAGTTGTGTGTCTTAGAACCAATCAGCATACCCCAGCAAAGCAGCTTTGGTGTGAAAACAGGTCTAAATGCCCACTGGTTGAATGCTTTCCAGACTGGCAGGATCTTCTCCGCTTCGGCGAATCCCCACTTCGGAGATGGCCAAGGTCTCTCCCCCCGAACCGTCGGAGTGGAGTGTCGGCATCCCGTCCAAACCAAGGAGTTCGTCCGAGTCGGTGCGCGGCCCCCTTTTGGCCCAATGACCTCTCACCATCTCTCACCATCTCCCAAGTCCTGGAGCTTAGCTTCTTCTCTCCCCCCAATCAACTCGACCTCGCGACCTCCGTCCCTAGCCTTCCAATGGTCGGTTCTGGGAGTCAACCAAGAGGTATTCTCCAGGTATTCGATCCACTCGGTCACATCCACATCGTTGGGAAACCAAACCTACCAGACTCGGTTCCGGCAGGCCGGCGTCCGTCCGGAAGCTGCTGCCGTTGAAGAGTCACGAAGTTTCAACGGCCCCTCCGTGTGTTTCCACCTAAAACATCCTAAAACCCCAATCTCCTGGTCTTAGTGTGCCCTTGCTGCTTGCTTCTGCTTGTTCTGCTTGTTCTTGTTCAATCGATCGCATTGGTTTCGCTCTGAGGGTGCCTGGCATCCTTCATTATGCAGCATCGGTGCAGCTATCGGTGCAGCTATCGGATGTTCCACCTATTGCACCATGGACTGACGCAGACACCTGGCAATTTGGAGGAAGCCCTGGCGCAATCCGCACACATGCGCTCACAAACACAGGGTTATGAGGTTCAAAAGGGGAGCTACACGTTCCGCCGTCTGTTTCGCCAGCGGCTCCGGAATTGCGCCAGATTTGGATAAACTTCACAGACGCCGGGTGCACTTCGCAAACCGTGATGTTGAGATATGTTGAGATCACTGACACACTCCATGTGGCATGGAGTGCCAAGTTCCCGCAAAACAGGTCCGGAAGACCTCAGAAAGTACCCTGCAGTAGTTCACACTCCTACGAATGAAGATAATCCCACGGCAATGGATATTTAAGTCTTGCCAAATATGAGAGATCTATATATCCCTTTGTACTCGTCATCCATCTGCATGCCATGGAGCTCGGGTATTTCCACTGTGGATCTCCTGTTTGGATACTTGACTAGTTGACTGCCCTTCCGACCACCCGCTCGGTACGGTTCTTTCCCCAGGAAATCCAACCACCACGAACGGCTGCAGACGTCGGGCTTCAGGACCAAACGAACTGGCTCTCCGGTGGTCAAGACCACAGCCAACTGGTTTGGTGGAGAACAACTCAAAGCTTCCAGGAAGGTTCCAATACTGGCTCTTCACAAGATGGCTTCGATCCTTTGGTTTTATTCCTTTGGGAACTAGCCAGTATTGGCAGGCTCTTCCACAAACTTTGTCCACGCATTCCACCTCAAAAAAGGCCCTGAACCTGTATCACCCAGCCAAAAAATCAACAGGACTACTGTATAAGTCGATCTGGTGGCAAACTCGGCTAACTCGGTTCTTCACTCCATTCCACTCTCCATCCTGGGAACTGTTTTGTTCTGATCCTCCTTGAATCCTTTGAACTCCAGGTCAAACGCCGAGGGCTGGATATAAAACTCATGCCCTGCGGCGTATCCCGATCGCGTGCCGCGTTCACGCGGTCACCCGCGAGCCAAACCCAGTAGGTGACTGGGGTGGACCCCACCGAATGGGTGGACCCAGGCACTTGATGAGGCTAGGCGTACAGTTTGACACCTACTCCAGGTGACACAGCATCCTACTCTCATGCACCTCTACAGGTTTGAGAAGGCTAGGCCGCTAGACCCGCCAGGCGTAGGTATGCTATAGATCTCCTACTCCTACTCCATAACCTTGTTCACCGAACTTGCTATTTTGTGCGGTGACTTACAGCTGGTATCTAGATGTTTCAGGATACCCATTTTTAGGGAGCTACTGGGGCCACAGCAACAAGAATCGTCTCCCCACTTTTTGAAAATCTCCCCAATTACCACAATCAGTGGGTAAGCGCTCTTAGCACCCATGGAAACGTGAACATCAAACGCCCTTGTGGAAGATAAACTTACCTGTTGTGTCACCTTTTTTTGCAGCATGATGTGGCATGAACCCTTGTCGTTTTTGTTTTCACATCCCATGTCCTTGCCTAAATGGTAGCAGCTCTCGGGTGTGAATGTAGGATCCTTAGGGCTTCTTGGTGCGGTCACTGCAAATCGCTCTCGCTCTCATGTGCCTGAAAGTTTCCCACAATGAGATAGCGAGCCTTCAATAGACTACTAGCTTCTTGTTTCTACTAGTAAGGCACTTGTTACTAGAAGCGATGCACTTGTTACTACTAGCTTCTTGTTTCTACTAAGAGTTAAAACGATGTTGAAACAAATCTGGGGCTCGAGATTTCCCATGAACGCGAAGTTTTCGCACTCGCCCACCTGCTGCGGAGCTGCGGCCGGAAGGGAGTTCCAATCAAAAGCGGGGCAGGGTTGGGTTCAGGAAGCAAAACGGGTGCGGTATGTGAACAGTCTCTTGTGCGCGACCGATACATTTTCATACATTTCCTTTGTTTTTCTCATCCGGTTGCTGGAACCAGCTGCGCCAGCTGCGCCTCTGCACTCTGCTGCGACAACTTCACTGGTCCAAGCTTTCCTTGTGGCGACCAGTTCTGGTGGTCTCAACCACCGGGAGAAATTGAGATCTGCAGACCATCGGCAGAAGAACAACAGAACCACGGCAGATTCTGGCTCTATCTGACTCTATGTCTGCTGTTCACCTAGAAGCTGATATGTAACAAACAAGACAGGATGTTATTCCTCGTGTGGAGTTGGTCCCTTCGCTGGTTTGACTGCTTGGATTCCCTTGGCTGGATCCCCACTGCACTGTGATCCCGCGCCGTTCAGGGGCTGCGCTATCACGCAAGGGAGAACGAACTGCATTGAAGGCTGCATCATTGCCTTTTCAAATCACACCCACATACTGCATACATAATGGGATGCTTTAACCAATTGAACAAACTTGATGAGAAGAATATCGTGCTCATTTCCAGAAGTTGGGTGCTGCAAAATCTCATGGATGAAGGGTGCCAAGACATGTCACCTCTGGATGCGGACGTCAACAAAAGAAGACTCTCACCGGCTGGAAGACTCAGACTGGAAGACTCCCAAACGGTATTGATTCGGGTTTAGGGTTCTGAGACAATGGGTATGGGAGACCACCTTTGTTGGGCGTCCAAGTCCTCTAGGCCAGGCAGGCGTCTCCCCCTGGAAAGAGGGGACCGCTCCAAAATGTCTCGCTCGGCTCGGTACGACCAGTATGGTTTGGTGGAAAACTGTTTGAGCGGTGTGCGGCTGCTGGGCACAAAACAGCTCCTGAACCAACCACAAACAGAACTTGGGGAGAAGTTCTGTGTGTCCATCAAAACACCATGATTGCTGATGTTGTATTGTCCGTCTCATCCTCCCAGATCTGCGCTCGCCCGCTGGGTGACGAAGCGCTGTGCAGAGGATGAATGGAAAGGCCCCTGAAGCTCCGCCGAGCTGCGGTTCAGCTCTAAATAGGTCTGTGTCTCTTCGAAGGTGAGCTCCGCCTGGAAATATTCCATCTCTCAGCTCGACCAGCAGTGCAGCTCGATGGTTCGTTCTGCGGGACATGTTTCTTGTGGACGTCGTTCTGTGGGGAAGACAAGGACGTTCGACTTTTTTGCAGCCCCACGTCACGAGGTGAAGGAACCCGACGGGGTCATCGTCCTCCCTTCACGGCTGTTGTAAGCAGTGGGTATTGTAACCATGGGAAGTTGTGTTTGGTGGGAGACGAGCCACTTAGTAAGTTTTGGGGCTCAAAAAAGTGGCATGTCTATGTCAATGTATATATAGGTATCAGTATCAGTATCATCATAAACAATGCATTAGATCTACTTGTCAGGCCAAGCAAATCACTTCGAGCTCCACGCAACACACCTCGCACTTTGAGCTCTCTCGCAGATCTGTGGGACCGCCGAGTGGCTGGATGGATTTTGGAGCTTTCGGAGACCCACTTAGTTTGTGGCATGTAGATCGCCGCAAAGCCTTGCCGGCGGGGGGAAGGAGAAACCCTGGCGCTAAACCCAACGCGAGAAGCCTGTTAGGAGAGGAAGAACAATATAGAGGAAGTTTCATGAAGCTCCAGTGCTTTGGGCTGCAGTAGCCATACACGTGTGGGCGACGGGCGAGGTCGTGGTCGCAGTTGCAGTCGTGCCGCGCTTGGAGGCCCAGGAACCACGGGCAGACCTTGGAGTGGTCCTTTCAAGGATTCACTTCAGAGAACCCGAAAACAGCCGGAGAAAACCCTTCCACCAACCAAACACGCTCACGTGCTCAAACAACCCACACCTCTTGACGCTCAACGAGCTCGGTGGAGCCAAGTGTCCAAGGCGAAACCAGGAATAGAAGTCCGCAAAGCTATTGACCTCAAACTTCCGGTCCGCATCAGGAATAGGGTCCGGTCCAAAAAGCCAAACAATCAAAGCACATGTGGTCAAAGGTTTAGTCCACTTGATGTTGAGAATCTCCGTGTGTGAATCGTTGCGCGTCCCTGCTTGCCTCAGGGTTTTTCATTGCGGTCATCCATTTTTGAGGGTATTTGACACATCAAAAGAAGCACACCAAGCAGGCACGCGATGCTCCCGAGCTTGTTTTGCTTTGGTTTTGCTTGGGGTGGTTCCAACTGACGGTCCTTGCGGGGGATCGGCTGGCCACTAGACTTGCGTGTTCCAAGAGCCAACAACTTGGAGCGAGAAGTCCGGATTCCTGATAGGAGGGAGAGTCCACAGTGCCCATGTTCATGGTTTGCCAAAGATTTGGAGGGGTGAGGTGGCTCAAATACGCTATTCTGGTAGGAATAGTATGTTTGCCCCAGTGATGTTCCTTCGACCTTGAGCCGGTTTCAAGGTGATGGACCTGATTAGTTTATGACCCCAAAAAACCAAGTCTTCGCTGCACCTTTGTCCCTACCATCGTCAGACTGTGACGGAAGTGCGATTTCATCCACCTTCCTGTACTCCGCGGGGTCATGCGTCTCTCACTTCACAAATGTCTGAGGAAAAGAACAGGAAGTGATAACCATCCAGATCAACGAAATACTGCAATGATACCCAGGGACCCATGTATGGATTATATGCCTACATCACGGTGGGTTTCCAGGGTCAATCTAGGTACCCGGTGTCGCCATACTTGGTATACCATACTTGCTACCCGGTGTCGCGGTTAAACGGGCATATCTCCAAGGCGCATCGTTGATATTCTTATGCCCGAAGGTGCCAATCTCGTTGTAGGCAAAATTGGCGTTCTCTTCCTGAAAGCGGAGGATTTGAGGGGAAGACTTCTCAGCAAAGTCGGGGCGCCCACGTCGGTTCACGTCTGTTGCTTCGCCTCCGGGCGACGAAGAACCGGCCTTCCGTGTGGGTTTCAAGAGAGGAAAGCAACATGATCCCAGGAGGTGCTCTAGTCAAAGGCATGTCTATGGACTTCCATTTTGTGGACTTCTTGCCATAGGAGGTCTACTATGTCATGTTCCTCCAAGCAGCATGCGGTGCCGTGCCCATGTCGACCTTTCGGTCGTCCCTCTCAGTTGAAGCATGTCCTTTCGGCCAACCTACACCCCACGAGTCGTCTCGCTCCGTCCATGTGACGCTCCTTCCCCGGTTTCGGGTCCGTTCGGGAGACCGGTCGACGGCCAGGAGACCTGCCTATTGACATACACACCCCGAAAGAGTCTACATCTCTTCGTGACATCCCAAACATGCTCCTTGAAATCCATCAGGGCGCAGCTACGTACTGGCCGCATGGCCGTCTCGTAAGAAACGGAAGATTTCCAGGTTCACCATGCTTCTTGGCAAAACAAAAGAAAGGAAACGGTGTGACCACCGAGCTCGGCGCCATGTCCTGTCGGACCCACCGAGCTCCGTCGCGACCACGGAGACGCGACCCCCTCCGAGGCGCGATGTCGGAGCGGATCGCTCCCCTCAGAAAGGGGGGTGAGCCCGGGATGGATCGGGAGCGCGGATGGCCATTGTTAATACACTTGTATTATAGATGTTGTCTTGATATATGTATACAAAAATATAGATGTTGTCT